CCACGATGCCATTGAATGTTACCTAGTCTTGCCTCCAAAAAGTCATTTTCAGACTGGACTGCAGTTTCGACCTCGATTGGATCTTATCAACAGGGCTTCGTCAATAGGACACGAAATAGATCGGATACGATTATCAAATCATCCTTTTATTATTAATATTATTTTGCCATTACAAGTTACTTCCATTTACATTATGTACGGGTATATTTCGACCCTTTCATTTATGGTAGATATGAAGACCAAGTTGATGCGGCCTTCTGTTGGTTCGAAGTTTGGCCTATCATTTGTGCCTACATATGGACTCAGTTGAAAATACTTCACTTTCTGTCTCCAACTCACTTAAATCAAAGCAGAGTGACCTTTTATCCAACTACTATTACTACTACTATTGGTAGTAGTAGTAGCCACATTCATTTACTTATTCATTAGTGATCTTTTCGAAAAATGCCTAAAACTTTGCCTTAAGTATATCAATTGCAGTTAACGCCTTTCTAAAGTTTCATTAGAAGGGGAGCATCGCATCCGTTGTGTGGACGTTTTGGCCAGGTCATCCCAGGGGCCATTTGTTGATGCCAACCGGCCGAGCCAAAGGCGTAGGTGGCTTGACTGATGGACGAACCGATTCGGTTGGCCAGCCCTGACACAATAACCTGTTTATCCGAATCGTTTGTTATCGTTTCTCTTCATTCCAACCTTTAGGCAAAGACGTTTTTCATCCCAGCCAGCCCACCACCAATCGACTTTTCCCGCCGTCGTAGTGCTTCCTGTCCTAATAGGCCCTAGAAACCATAGTTTCGGCAACAGTTCACAGGTTGGCATTCTAATTCTTGCCTGGGCTGCTGATCCCTTTCTGGCCGGACGCAAATCTCCACCCACTCTTTGCTCGCATTTCTGTCTCTCTGTCTGTCCCCTTTCGGAGAAAGCATCCAGCCGATTTATATCTCGATTTTCGTAGAACTGCCCCTGGCCGGACGAAATTCTTGCCGCTCATCTTCCCTCTATCAGCCCGCCTCCGTGTGTACACCGACTGGGAGATAGCGTCTAATAAATGCAGAATTGTGTGACAAACTCTCACTGTCTGTATGGGATAATGGTGGAGCTGTATTCGAGATTGGCAATCGACTTCTGTCCTCGTTGATGAGGTCTTCATCTCGAACTGCCTTTCGCATTGACATACCAAAAGAAGGGCTAAGCAGTCTATCCAGGCCATGGCGGCCGAAGTGAAAAGGATGTCCACTCAGGACTACATCAGGTTGAGCTGGACCCTTCGAATGAAATGAAGAGAATAAATAACCATTTCTGGGCAGGCGGCCGACCGAATGGTAGCAAACTGCCCTCGCGGAGTATCTTTTTTATCTCCATTTTCCTTCATTTCTGCTTAAACCCGTTTAATATCCACTAAACTGCAATGCCATTTACGCTTTAATTGAATTGACTTTCAGCAGAGCTAAGAATTATTCACTCAGTTGCATATCTCTTCTACACATCGAGGTAAATTTTAGCTTAAAATACAGCTCCCAAAATCTCTAGTGCCTGCTCGCCAACTGCTCGGGATGCACATCATTGGCGAATTTCCTCAAAGATTTTCGTATAACCGGGTTTTATTCTTCCCGTTACCCGGCACACCTGGAGGATGTAAATGTATGATAGCTTATTCGGTTTCTTTTTGAGTAAAAATCATAATGTAGGTGGAAAAGGGGCCTCCATAGAACCCTTTTCGAAAAAAATTAAAAATTGCTATCACTTTGACTACCTTATTTCGCATAAAGTGATGAAGGACTGGTAATTGGAATTTTCCACACCCATGCGATTAAACCTTACATTTCCATTGAATTTCGTAAAAGTTTTTCTCATTCCTTTGGCAGGCAAGTCTATATGAAACTCAATGAAAGCGTGATTATGGGAAAATTCAACTGCCGGTCCTTCATCACAGTACTCATTCAAGATTTTCTGGTAGTCTCAAGGACCTCCTTAAAAATGAAAATTGGCAAGTTGAGTCCAAAATATTGTCCCGCACTGAAGAAATTTGTCAATGACAAAAAAAAGCCCAATTCATTTCCTTCAAAAATGGAGAACGGTGATCTAAAAGATGAACTCGTAGAACGAAAACCAAGCACACCTATGGTCACCTTTTTAAAGCTCTGGTAGAATTTATCAACGAATTCCTTCATTTCCATTTTGTCGAATGAAATTGAATTAATTCCCAGTTTTCATGTTATATGTATATATATATGTATGTATGTATGTATGTATGTATGTATGTATGTATGTATGTATGTATGTATGTA